CGCGTCGTATGCCTTCGTCAACTGCTTGCCCGCAAGCTATCAGACCGCAAAGTTGACTAATTTTGGGTGGCCTATGTGTGATCATACGCAGGTTTCCGCTTTCTATTTCCACTGCAATTTACCTCCTTTATTCTTAGTTTAAATTTGAATTAATGATAACCCAAATTTTGATTATATCAGCTATGGTGATAATAATAGTATAGCTTAATGGTTTGTCTATAAAATACAAATATGCGGCAAAACAACTGAGGCGGTAAATATAATTAGTAAGTGATTAATTCAAATATCCTATTAGAACGGTTTGAGAAATCGAGATTTTGTACCCCTTGTGTTAAACCGACAAATAGTATGCAAGAAAAACCGAAAAATAGGCAAATAATACTAAGCACTACAATAAACGTTACAAGAAATGTTACAATAACCTAACGAAAATAGACTTAACACCTAGGAATGATTATAAAATAATCGAAAACGACAAACCACGTCCAGTGTTCGAACCGCGCGCGTTATCAAAAGGTTCGCTTTCTTTTCCCATCCCCCAAAATGGACTCGATTTCTATCCTCTATACACATTCCCACTAACTTTGTGTGCATACTGACTTTAGCAGCCTCATTGTATTTCGTTAACGAAATATATTGTACAATTGTACAATGATTAGGATTGTGATGATAATGATGACCTAAACATTTTGAGGCTCAATTGAAATAACCCCCCGCGACATCTGATCTATCATCCCCCACCTTGACTGGGCAAATACCCCCATGGGCATCAATTGCAGTTGATGCCAGTTATCCATCTGAAATGAGGGTTTCCCGGGAAATCAGTTATTTCAAAAGGCATAAGGCCTTCGGTCCATATGGGCTGTCCCCATCAGCGTTGAAGGATGCAGGTTCAGCCCTGGATTTGGAGTTAACGAAACTCCTCTGTTCCGTGTGGGAGAGACAAGAGGTTTCAACGGAATGGTGTAAATCTGTCATCTTGCCGATTTACAAGAAAAGTGACAGATACTCTTGTGAAAACCACAGGGGAATTAGCTCAATCAACATCGGCTATAAACTTCTCGCTGGCGCCATACACCGTCGATTGTATGCCGCACATGAAGAGTACACGCGTGAGAACCAGGCTGGTTTCAGGCCTGGTCGAGGTCGCATCGACCACATCTTCACTCTTCGCTAAACTCTTGAGCACCGACATTCTTTTCATAGACTCACTATCTCTGCCTTCCTGGATCTGAAAGCGGCTTTCCACTCAGTTGATCGCTTTAAACTCTGGCGCTGCCTTTCTGTGAAAAATGTGCCTCTCTCTGAAGAGTACCCCCCCAGAAATTTATTTCAATTTTACGATCTATTTATACTAATAGCCTAAGTCGAGTTCGAGCCTACGTCATATTTTCACCCGAGTTCACTACAGAAAGTGGTGTTCGTCAGGGTTGCTTTCTCTCTCTCTCTCTCTCCCTTTCCTTCTCCCTTTTTTTAATTATCTCTGTTATAGATGTATGTAAACAGCCCTATCCTCGTGCGACGATAGTGGCACCGATTTGCTCTCCGATAGCAGACTGTCTGATCTGGAGTATGCGAACGACATTGTATCGCTAATTAAGGACCACAGATAAGTTACAGGTTTTTCTGAATAGCTTGAATGCCGGTGTAGCCATGTTCGGTACGTGGTTTGCACCTTCAAAGTCTAAAATGTTAATTCAAGACTGGGTTGGTCCAGCACCCAGCCTCACTCTGATTGGGGAATTAATAGAACCAGTGGATTAGTTTTGTTATTTGGGCAGCTATATCTCCCTCAGCGGATTCGTCACAGATGAAGTGTCTGCTCAAATACAGAAGGCTCGATTGGCATTCGCCAACTTGAGATGTCTATGGCGTCGCCGCGACATCCGACTGTCCGTGAAGCGTCGAGTATACGCCAAGGCTATTCAGTCAGTTCTGCTATACGTCGCAGAAACTTAACCTTTAAGAAATCAGGATAAAGATAGACAAACCATATTGCTTGATGGGCTGTAATCCAAGGCTGATGTAGAAAATGCACTTGTGGGGAAATGACGATTTTCTGCTTTTGAGCTACTAGGCGGTGTGCTGATAATATACAACGTCCGAACACCCACTCTCCAGGCGTATAAACTCGCCATATCCCACATGTTGAAACAGAAATCACTGCACTAAGCAGTCCCTACCAATTGCCTGTAGCGAAGAGCAGCACCGTTCAATTGCGTAGTCACAATGGATCGTTGTCGGAAACGATACTGTTAACTTTTGTGAAACCTAGCGTGACTGATGCCACACAAGAACTATTTCGTATTATGTTTTTTATTGAATTTTTTATATCCTTATAGGTTATACTTGACTTTTAAATCTTGTCGACTGAGCACTGACCACCGATAATGGAGTTCAAAGTTTCTCATTCGGTAAAACGTGGTCCTACACGCTTGCAGTTTTATCGCAATCCACCCTCGGAGACAATTGAGCTGAACGAACTGGAACAGTACGCTGTCGATCGGATTCGAGCACTGAAGTGTGTTGAAACAGTGCGTCAAGATTTCGTTTTCGGAAGTCACGAATACGAGGAACACTTAACGTCTGAACTTACTAAACTCGGACCGTTTGGGAAATCATTAACTATCACTACCGCGTCCAGCAAAAATGCCAAAGAAGACATACGACGGGACATAATTTCCCATTTTGTTCTTCAGGTAATCTCTTATTAACCGTGTTCTTCCCGATGTTTTTTGGGGGAAAAGCGATTTCAAAATTCAGGCGTTTGGAATCTTTTATTTTCGACTTCAGAGTTTCGCATATCAAGGTGGACAATGAGCTGAATTTTTCTGTTGCCCACCATTGCACTGCAAACAGCGGAAGAGGCAAATCCCTTAGTTACGTAATTCTACGGTTCCTTTTGGTTAACCAGAAACCTACTTTGTGATGTATTAGCAAAGCACCGAAGACTCCAATCAGATAGAAGTGCAACGATACCGGAAAACAATCAATTTGCCTGCCGCCAAAGCATGTTTATAGGGCTTGGATCCCAATCCACAGGGCCTGAAGCGAATTAAACGCCTTGACTACCACCATAAAATGACGTAAATGAATTGCAACTTATTCTGTTCTATATTATCTTACAGCCTGTAGCAAACCACCTTGTTTAGGCATTATGCGGTTACTCTTTCAAATATTATGATGTATGTTTCTTTTTATTCTGGCTCAGTGTTTTTAGCATGGTGACGCTTGTTGATTTGTCTCTTGTAGTACATCGCATCACCTATTCATTTTTCTTGCCTTTTTGGATCCAGGCCGTGTTCGAAGCTAGTTGTGACTATCTTTTACCGAAGAGGTCAACACAAGATTTGTTTGTGGGTGCTGTATAACAAGGCTGACTGAGCCAAAGTAGGCGGTTTAGGAAAATTTACATTTGTAGCCTTCCCAACCAGTGAAGCCTACTAATCTGAATTCGGTCTGATTACTAATTTTCCTGCGAATCATACCAAATACTCCACGGCTTATCTCAGTGATTCTTAAACGCTCGCACCAGGTAAACATCGGCAGTCCAAGGCTTCTAGACAACGAATATCTTCTACGCGCAAGTCGATTGCCTCGCAACCCTCAGGTAGAACTGACCCCACAGTGGTGTAGTATACTTGAACTTTTAGTTTCGAGAAAACATCGTCTGCACCAAAAGTGTTTCAGTCCAGCGTACGCTATCATGCCTCGTAAAAGTGCATGATCACTTCTGCGGGATTCCATGACAAGGCAGTGAACCCATAAGGGTTTCACGGTGAACCGAATCGAAGACCCCTTGAGGTAAAAAATACTGCGATTGTTGGTCGACAATGTATGTGTTATCAAACAGCTTAACGCAAGGTGAAGATTTGGTCTATGCCACTGCGACCTGGTTGGAATCCTGCTTAATGTTCGCAAATATTCATTTCCCTTAAGGGTTTTCACAATTGTTGCGTGATCCCTTTTTAAAGATCGGAACGATCAACGATTCACCCCAAGATAAAAAAATTCGCTCCTCCTACCGGATGTAAGCCCTTCATTGAGTCGCATCTGAACTTAAAAGGAATGAACAGAAGTTCAGCAGGTCCCGCTACATTCCGTTTCTTTAGCGATTGTATCCAGCTTCGTACTTCTAATTGTCTGGGAATCTCACTTATTTCGACCTCCTAGTTTCCGCTGTAATCGCCGGAGTAATCACGATAGCTTCAGGCTGGTGAAACTGTTCACTAAACCTTGGGCTCGGCTCCACAACCAGGGCTTGCAGCGGAAGGCATCGCAAATCCAGTCAGATTTCACTGTTGATCTTCGTGGTGCTGCAAACTGCTACTTAAACGTCTCCCCAAAACATCCGACGTCGTTGTCTGTTCGTCCACAAAGCAAAGCGAAGCACCTTCCTAGATAGACTTCAGATGTGCTCTGTTTTCCAAAGCGGCTGCTGACACTGATGTCGCAGATGCTGCTCAGCCAAATGAGTTCGGTGGATTTCTCGCAAAATTCGTCCTTTTGTTGGATTGGAACTGCAGTTGGTGTGTGCATATTCCGAAATGATTAACAAACCCTCTTCGTGTTTCTTACCTTCGGAACATTAGCTGAACTATGGAGTGCCATTGTGCGATAACGACTGTTGACGGGTTTCCAATTATCATTGGGGTCTCAGCTTTACGCGTACTGCTACTCCTATATCTCGCCGACTCAGTGAGCGGGTTTCATCTCGTAGTGTGTGAAGGGAATACTTTAAGGATAGACCCGGCGCACTCAGGCAATTTATACTTCTGGGAGCCTGAATTCGTGTTTCCGATACACAACATACATCAATTTCTAAAGCGTTCATTGTACTCGCAAGACTCGCTTGTTGACTCATCTGCATAAGAGTCCTCATGGTAAAGGCCTTTAGATTCAGCGATCAACGAGGCTTCAGAGTATGCAATTTATTTATTGGTAAACGGATTGCCGTTCTTTTTAGTAACGAGCTCCGGTGAGTGACGAACAGGTTGTTTGATGGAATGTTACGGATCGACTGAGCAACAGCCTACTTATCACTACCCACCCCGCTCAATGCAACAGGTAGCACGGTCCAGGTTATCATTGGCAGCGACCGATGCTGTATGGAATTATTTATAGTGTGTTCATGGTCGCCATCAACTTTAGACCTTTCAGCCCTCACATCAGCTGAACAATTGATGCCAGTCGTTACACGTCATTAATTTGAAATGGTTTCCTATGTAATAACGGTTTACGGCTCCCGGCCCAGATGGGCTGTTCCCATCAGTTTTAAAAGATTCAACATTGTCTTAGAGTTGCTGAAACTTCCATGAATAATGTGAACAAGGAGCCGGTTCTAACCGATTAATAAGGAAAGCGTCAAATCTTGTGAAAATCACAGAGGAATTAGTCTGATCAACATTGCTCTAAACTTTTCGCTGGTGTCACACTCCGTCGATTATCTGCCACTGAGAATCAGTCTGATTTCAGATCTGGTCGAGGTTGTATCGGCCACATTTTCACCCTTCTCCAAATTTTGAAACCAAGGTACTTTTTGTAGACCCAACTTTTCTTTCTTCCTCGATTTGAAAAGGACTTTCGATCCCGTCGACTGCTCTTAAATCTGGCGCCGTCTTTCACTGAAGTGTATACCCAGTTTTGCGATCTATTGATACTAATAGCCGAAGTCGAATTCGAGCCTACACCACTTTCTCACCCAAGTTCACTACAGAAAGTGGTGTTCGTCAGGGTTCCCCTCTCCTTTTCTATTTGACTTCGATGAAGATTTGTTTATGGAACCAGCTCTTTCCTCGTGCGAAGATAGTGGTATCGATTTGCTCCCATATAGCAGACTGTCTGATCGGGAGTATGCAGGTGACATTCTACTGCTAAGTGAAGCCCCGAGTTGGTTACAAGCTTTTCTGGACGGTTTGAGTGCTACTGTAGCATTGCTTGGCATGCGTTTTGCACCTTTGAAGTGCAAAATGTTGTTGGGTCGGTCCAGCTCCCAATCTCACCTTTACTGAAGCAGTAATAGGGGCAGTGAACAAATTTTGTTATCCGAGCAGCTGCATCTCACCCGACGGACGCATCACAGATAAAGTATAACAAAACCCGACTGGTATTTGCAACTTAAACCATTTGTAGCGCCGTCGCGACACACGGCTGTTTGTGAAGAGTACAGTGTACGCTGCAGCAGTTTCGCCAGTTCTGCTGTGCGGCGCGGAAGTTGGCCGTTGCGAAGAGAGGATAAAGGCAGATTCTCGGTGTTCGAACACCATTGTCTACGCAGCATTGCGCGTCTGTGGTTGGGAAACCGGACGAGCAATGTTGAGGTTAGGAGCAGAGTTTCAGGCAATCTCGGATATGCACTGGGGCGATCGGTCCCCCTCTATGGACTACACTGGTTGGGCATGTCATTTAATAAGTTGCTACGGCGCGTACAGTTTGCTGCGATAGGTGATGGGTGCACAAAACTAAAAAGCGGTTAAACTTATATCTGACATGAGTGTATGGCAACTCTGATCAAGAGATTTGTTCCCATGGGCCTCGTTTGGCTCCCTAGATGGACACCCCGGGCTCATCATAACCAATTGTTAGGGGTATTGAATGTTAAGACTGGGTTTCGTAAACAGTGGTGCTCACTCATCTGTGCATTATCCCTTTAATCTTACTCCATTTGGATTTTCCGCGTTATCTTCGGCTCTGCTCGCATCATTCCCTCCTGCTCTTTTACCCAAAATGAGAAGTCATGAGACAACAATCGAATCCGGCGCACTGAAGTGCATGGTGAATGGTTATAAAAGCTTAACCGGACACAACTGGGAGCTTTATGAACGGGTACTTTTGGGAATTCCAACCACTACGCTGAGCCAGTTTCAATTGAAGCCTTAATACACATCTTTGTGATCAATAACCGACAAAAGACTTGGGTCCATAGGCGCAAATGCCTGCTATTCAATAACGGAAACCCGCAGCCTAGTCCCTGGGACTTAGATTGGCGAACTACCTAAGGCCCCGCTAGGTCTGGTAACAGAAAATCTGCCTACCACCAAAGTGGTGGTGGCGGAGCTCGAACCACTGACCATAGGATCCAAAGCACGCGGGTGATTGACTAACATGCTCCGCCGCCACCATCCAAAAGATGCGAATCGGAGGAAAAGGTGGCGCTTAGGACGGAGTGGAGTCCCATCTGCTAGGATCAATTAATTATTCCATCACTTTTTTGCTGATTGAAATGCCAATTCAAGCTGAACCTTTTAAACGGGGAACCAAGAAATTGGACTAAGTCTGACCTTTACCTTTTAATCGTCCAGGAGTGATTAGATCTTCGGCTCATCCAAAGCCATCGTGTGTGGCTCATTGTGCTGTAGAAGTGCACAAACCACCACCATGTCAAGATACCGTCTCGCTTAGGGTGCAACTTTCGCGAACTGAGTGAAGTGAGCCGTCTTAGAATTGTTCTAATGAGGGTTTCCGGCTGCTCCTGGCTTCCGGAATATTTTCCGTCCGCCCACTGAAATTTAAACATCCATCACGAAATTTCTTCAGTGGATTGTTTTGGAGACTCGCTTTGTGAGCACGAGATTCTTGTAGTAACAGGGGATTTCATGCAATAGTTATCAGCCTGAAACTTAGAATGCTGGTATCACGAAGAGACTCTTGATGTAATTTCGATGGCTTGAGCACCTCTGTAACTACACGCGCCACACAGGATGGGTTTGTGAAGCAAAGAGTTCTTGTGATTACTGGTAGGCCAATGTCCGTTCTCTTATATGGTGAGAACTGGCAGGCAACAATAGCTACTGAAATGGAAGTAGCAGCTGCACCATAGAATAATCAAAGACTGTTCCGACTTATACGCAATACGGAAGGTCGGCGAACTCCAGATAGTGAAACAGTTTGCGATAACAGGGGATGAGCTATTCACAATAGGGATCAACGACTTAATCACTGGGCAGAATACTTCAGCGAACAGTTCAACTGGCCTGCCGCTATCCAGGTTGCCTCGTCCGCAAATGAAGCCCCTTGGGCAGTGTCGTGCGATCCTCCAACGCAAGCAACATTTCAGCCTTGCATTCCGGCTCTGAAGTGAGGTAAGGCAACAGGACCAGATGAGCTCTCTCTCTCTACCTTCAAGATGGAGGTGATAACCTCGTAAGCTATATAACCATCTTACTGCGCAACATTTGGACGCCAGAACGCATTCCTTCATCTTGGGGCGAATCGCTGATCGTTCCCATTTTCAAAAAGGGATGTCACAACGACTATGAAAACCACCGCGAGATCAGTTTGATCCCGATCATCACCAAAGTGCTAGCTTCGGTTATACTTCGACGTCTGACGCCTTTTAGAGAGACCAACATCCGTGAACAGCAAGCCGGATTCCGGCCTAGCCGTGGATGCATTGATCAATTGATTTTTTACGTCGCGTCAGGTCCTTGAGCTGCATCATACCCACCGTCGGCCAACGATCGCAGTGTTCCTTGACCTGAAAGAAGCCTTCGACTCAGTTGACCGCGAAGCTCTGATGGGCTCCCTTCTTCGAAAAGGAATGCCCCAGAAGTACGTTAACCTACTGAGATCACTGTACTCACAGACTTCCTGTCGTGTAAGGGTTTACAACAATCTAAGTAGGCCGTTCGTCACCAGCAGCGGTGTCCGCCAAGGATGCCCTCTCTCGCCGTTCCTGTTCAATTTCGTCTACGAAGAAATACTGAAGAGCGCACTAAGGGGACTCCAAAGCGTAGGTATTGAATGGGCAACCGGAGAAAAGCTATGCGATTTAGAGCACGCCGATGACATCGTCTGTCTGTTCGAATGTATGGAGGACGCGCAAAGCACACTTGATAGACTAAACAGGTGCAGTTGCCACATTCGGCATGTGCTTTGCACCTTCAAAGTGCAAAATGATGCTACAGGACTGGGTTTCATCTACTCCCGCTCTGAAACTAAATGTTCAGGATTTAGTAATGGTGGATTATTTTTCCCACTTAGGTAGTTGTGACCAATGACGGTAACGCAGCAAAAAAGATAACCACCCGCATTTCCAAGGCTCGAGCAGTATACGCAGGACTGAACAACCTTTGGCGTAGACACGACGTTTCACTGAAATTGAAAGGTCGTGTATATTGTGCTAGCTTCGTTCAGTCCTGCTTTATGGTTGTGAGACCTGGAATTTGCGAGTATAGAATATCCGTCGACTAGAAGTTTTCGATTATTGGTGTTTACGCAGTTTAGCCTACGTTGAATGGAGCGAACGGGTTAGTAACGTGGAGGTAAGCCGTCGTGTGTTTGGGAGTCTATCAGATATAAACCTGCTAGCACACCAAATTCAAATTAGTAGACTTCGCTGGCTAGGTCACGTATTGCGTATGCCCAGCTGTCGTCTGCCGCATCGCCCTTTATTCGCTGTAGCTAATCCGGGCTGGAGGAAACCGCGTGGAGGTCAACAGATGACGTGGAGACAAGACATGAAGAAATGCACAGAGCCATTAGGTAGAGTAGGTGTCTCTCGCTCTCCAGGCTGGGGTCCGAAAGACTCCACAACTGGTTGGTTGGAGACATTGAAGGATATGGCAGCGAACCGGCAGCAACGGCGTTCTTGTTGTCGTCTCTTATCAGATCAGAACGCTTGAAACATTATGTATGCAGAGTTCGATTCCGTACTTTGTTAACAATAGTAGCTTACCTTCTTCTCCCTCCCTCAAAATAGATCAATCCCTGTCCACCTTAAATTTTACCACTAATCTTGTATGCATTGCGCGTTTGGCAGCGTTCAATGAAGTTCAATTCACTGTATTTCGCTGAACGATGATGGGGATAATTGTGATGATGGATACGCGCCACTTTGAGTTCACTTCAATTTTCTGCACAACCTTGTTTTCCTCATCTGCTCGTTTTCATTTGGCCTCTGTCACGTGCAAGTCAGTGGCCTGTGAGTTTCTTATCTTGAAATTGTCAGGTTAAAGTGATGGTTATGTACTCTTTAGATGCTGGAAGCAGGTTGGGGGGTATTGCCAGTGATTCGCTATATGTTTATCATACTGGGTACTCAACCGGGCATCCTGTTTGGTAATTTTCACTTGTTTTGTCTTCCAATTTGATTCATACGTGTAACCGAAAGCCAATGGCAGTTTCGCAACTGAAAATGGAATCACCCACACAAATTCCCTTATACGATAATCAATACCGAAAGAAAAGAATGGTCGCCATATGTTAAGATTTCGTTTGATGTCCTCAACCACGGACGTAAAGGAAACATTCATGTATATAGCACATTGCGTTAATCGAATATGATGAGCGAGCATCTGAAGCCAAAGAAAGATTAGAAGAAAGATAGAAGTAAAAGGTCAACTTCACGGTGAGTAATTCATTCTATCGAAAGCATTCGTGCGCTTGAGGCCGAGTGATATAATCGAATTAGCAACGCTTCACTAATTGCTTAAGGTTTAGCTTTGCCTTTTCAGTATTAATGTTGTATAAATAAAAGCAGATAAAGGGGATTCAGTGTTTGCAATATAAAAACTGTTTATATCCTCCCCTTCGCACTTAGGTGGCCTACTGTCGAAGTGAAGACTTGCGTCGGTGGTTCATTCAACAAGAAGTGGAACTGTTCCGTTATCGTTTTATTCGAGAGCGGAATAGTTCCAATGCGGGCCCGGATGTGATTGCCTCGTTTTTGGACGAAAATCAACTTCATTTCACCCATTTGCTAGACTCGGAACGAAATCGAATTTTGCACTATTTGGCAGCTGGGACTGCAGCCAGTGGTCTGGATCTACAAACCACAGCCTTCTATAAGGTATTTCCCTTCGATATTGTTTTTTTTAGATCCCATTCTGATCCTCATTCTCTTTTGAAGCTCACTATTTTTTTTATTACACCTTCGTCATTGGGAGATTAACGGAATTCAATGCTCCTTATGATACGGATGGAATTGCCGCAATGTCGAATTAAGCGCAGAGTTGTATGCTACCGAGCACGTCCCCAGATCGCGGATAGGGGAACGGCCGCTAACTGTGAGTAAGGTGGGTTTATTCTCACTGAATAAGCGGTCGCGGTCGATCAGCGGCAGTGTGCGAGGATCTAGTGGGTATACCACTTGGCAAGGGTTCTCCACACAAAACACCACATGTATCTTATGGCAGCGCTGTGATGTGGTGAGTGTGGCCCGCCACTGAATACGGCCATCGCCCCCTTGTCGAATTCCACCAACCCGACAAGGTCCTCCAGAGAAGGCGAATGAACCAACCGACGGGTCACCGGCTTATCTGGAACAATACTGCTGCCTTGTAGCTCGCGCTCGGCTGCGTAAAGGCCAGAGTGCATCCTCGAACAAGGCCTACTCTGGACTGGGCGACCGAGTAGTACAACAGCCCACAATGCAAACAATGAACTTCAACCTAATCAATAACTC